TTTGTAACAATAACTCCCTCAAATCTGGTGCTCCCACTGTTTTGTGTGTAGCCTCCATTAATGGGGAGACAAAATCCACATGTGGCTCCTTATTAGACTGGAGAACCTTAGCAAATGACTTTTGAGCATCCCTGGCCTTGCCACCTTTCCCCACGCCCTCAAGCAACAAATGCGAGTTTGCGCAATAGCCACATCATCATACTGCAACTGGGCTTGGACACCAAGCCAGGCCCCTGACCCAGTGAGCTGATCTGATGAAACGTTAACTGGGGGATTTTGTCCCCTGTCCACTCTCTCTTGAATATCTGCTTCATCTTTCCACCAAGTTCTAAACTGCAAATATTGCCTTGGCTCTAAAATTGTATGACACAAAACTTCCCAGTCATGAGGAATTAATCTCTGTTCATTTGCTAATCCTTGTATTAATCCAGTCACATAGGTTGATTGCATACCATAGGCCATGCCAGCCTGCTTCAAATCTTTAATAACCTTGAATGCCAGAGGTTGGGGTTCCCATTGCACATATAGCCCTGGGGAAATTGAGCAATTGGGGGGTGTTGTTGAACCACCACAGGAAAAATACCCACAGGGACAGAATAAGCTTCAGGGTCTCCCTGCTGTCTCCCTTGCATGAGAACCTGAGATATCACACTTCTATACACTTTTATGGGGCCTTCCTTTTTCTTAAATGGAGGAGCAGAAGGGTTAAAAGATGGCGGTAGGGGCTGATTTTTCGTGAACTGAGATGAAGGAAGTTCAGGGATAGAGACTTGCATTTTTTCAATCAATTTAGAAATCAGTTGTGATAACTGCCTTACCTTGGCTCGCAGGTCACTTATCTCATTCTTAGTTTCCTTTTGTTCTACATACTCCAAATCCTCAGATTCTGAGGAGATGGTCTGCGATGCTATAAATGTCCTTTTAAGAGCTGGTTTGTCAGACTCATCCCCAGTGTAGCGCATGGAGAAATTTAAAGGACCAACAGTCTTGGTATGCTGGGAAGCGCCTTCTTGTAGGGGATCTTGAGGGGGTGCAACCTTACCGTAATTATGCACCACAGAGGCCCCCTGCTCTGTTTTTGTTCTTTTTGCTATGCTGGCCTCTGCATTCGAGAGTGAGGAAGGCAGAAGTCTTAAAAAGGTCTCGTGCAGATTCATAGTTATGTGGAAGCTGCTCTTGAGGCTTAGGAATATCAGCATCTGAGGCTGACCTTTGCAAATATTTCTTAGACTCTTCTGAGTCCGACTGCAATGGCGCCAAGGCTAAGGAAATTAAGCTACAAAGAGCCCACATGCGAAGAGGAATTGGTTCCTCATTTTGATGAGCACGACGCAGCGTTCTCATAACTTGTTTCCAAACTTTTAAGTTTAAAGCAGCCTTTCCCTTAGGCTGAAACCAGTAACAATGCCTGTTTATAAGGGAAAATAATTCCTTGAAACTCTTTGGTTTCACCTTTACACCGCTCCTTTGAGTAACGTCCCAATAAGCCGGGCATACTCATTCTCTGCTGAAGCGAAGTGCCCCATTACTCTGAGCTTTTCCTTCTGGTCTCACCTACTCTGGGGGTACGTTTCCCACGCCGTCAGGCCTCTCTTAACTCACCCTAGTCGTCTTCCGTGCCCCAAGTTGCGCGCCACTTGTTGTATGTCACGGGTCGGTGCCGAAAGAAACGAGAAGATCTGACGCATGTAGCTTCAGAGGTCTCACTGAGATTAGTCTCGCTCCAAGTGAGCCCAAAGCCTCAGAAGCATCTCACATTTATTGAGGGGTGAAGGCAGACTAAGGAATGTGCATAATTACCTAAGTGAATACAGACTACTATCTCTATTGACTTCCACCATTTGCCTAAC